GAAGAAAGGAAGGAAGGAAGCATTTGAACTATCTGTCATTCATTCTGTTCACTGAGTGAATACTTGGGCAGAGAACTCACGATGGAGCCCAGGCTGGCCCCAAACTTGGCCGTCATCCCCTGTCTCAGACTCCTAAGTGCTGGGATTATAGGACTGAGCCATCCCATGGCCAGTTTATGATCCTGACGCTGAAGAATATAAAACACTATAAATGCTCACCAGGATGAAAGGGGACCTGTGTTTGTGTGTCCGGACAAGGTATCATTTGAGTATAACCTGACTGGAGGAACAGAGCCAGCCATTCGAAGAACGCTACACCGTTCCCGGCCGAGGGACAAGGCCACTGTGACAGAAACACGATGCGTATTTTTATCTCCAGCCTAGATTTCGTTTTTGAATCACAGAGCTAATTGCGACTGCAGATCACCAGTGGGATGTCTGACCGGCCTCTGACCTCCATATGCACAAACCCCACCCATCTTCCTTCTCCAGCCTGCTCCTTCACACTGTCATAAACGGCAAGTCTATCACTGCGGCTGCTGACGATAAAACAAACGGTCATAACCATCCTTCACTCTGCCCCCTGTCCAACTCAACAACAAATCTACAGCATGATGGGGAGCCGATAGAAGCAAAGTACAATGATACACACATCCGAAAATGCCGGGAGGGGCTGGGGAGACGGCTCGGTGGTTAAGAGAACATACTGCTCTTGCAGAGGACCCAGATTCGGTTTGCAGGACCCGGAATGGGGGGCTCACACCTGCCTGCAACTCCAGCCCCAGGGGATCTGACTCCCTCTGGCCCCCGAGGGCGGGGCACCTGCACACACACACACACACACACACACACACACACACACACACACACACCCCTACATATTTTTTTAAAAAGCTTTAAAACAGAAGCTGGAGAGATGGCTCAGTGGTTAAGACCACTGGCTGCTCTTCCAAAGGACCAGGGTTCAAGTCCCAGCACCCATATGGCAGCTCATGTCTGTCTGTAACTCCAGTTCCAGGGGATCTGAAACCCTCACACAGGTAAAACACCAATGCACACACACACACAAAAAAAGTTTAAAAGCAGTTTCTTTTTTAAGTACTTTTAAGTGTTATAATGAAACCTACTCTTTTATATAAAATTAATTAAAAAAATTAAAATTAAAGAACAACATAAATCCAGAATTTGGCTGTTTCCTACCCTTCCCAGCACCACGCAGTCACTGCTGAAGCATTTGGATTTCCTGTGATGCAGAAGCGCTGACTGGTTTCCGGGACCCAGCAGGGGTGGCAGCGCATTCGTAGGGCAGCACAGTAGAGCCAGCTCATCCCACCTCACGTGGAGCAAGACGGTCCACGTCATACCGAGCTTGACTGGGCATGGAGGGAGTACTCATACAACGGATAATTGCTAACACTGAACCTTCTTCCCACTCTCGGGGTTGGGTGTCCAATGCTAGTGCACAATTGACTGTGCACATCTATTTTACACAAACCCAGGGCTGGCAGGTGTCTACGGTGGTGTAGACGGAGCGGCTTTTCTGCACACATCTGCCTGTCTGCCCCCTGCCTGTCTCCACTCAGCGATAGGCCGGGAGGTAAGGACCATTGGTCAGGAGGCCATTGGCCAAGATGGTGAGAAGTAAGGGTCCCAACCACAGGACGAAAGAGGGTTTTCTTTTGTTTGTTTGTTTGTTTGTTTGTTAGCACAATATTTTGTCATGTAGTCCATGCAAGCCTTGAGCCCACAATGCTCCCGCCTCAGCCTCCCAGCTTACTGAGGTTACAGGTATATGCTACCATACCCAACTGAAGAGAGGTTTTGGTTTTTTTGAAGCTATCCTGGAACTTACCAGGTAGATCGGGCTTGGCCTCAAACTCAGGGATCGCCTGCCTCTGTCTCGAGAGTGCTAGGATTAAAGGCGTGCGCCACCACGCCCCGCCCTGAAGAGAACTTTAATAGATCCTTAGAAGAGAGGACAAGACCGTTTTCCTTCTCATCCTCACCCCTTAGGTTCCCAACCTCCCTCACGCTGCGACCCTTTAATACAGTTCCTCAGGTTGTGGTGACCCCCAACCATGAAATTATTTTCATTGCTACTTCATAACTGTAATTTTGCTACTGTTATGAATTGTAATGAAAATATCTGATATGCAGCCTATCTGATATAGGACCCCTGTGAAAGGGCCGGTCCATCCCTTGAAGGGGTCACAACCCACAGGTTGAGAACCACCGCCTTCATGACTTTATTCAGACTCATTTCTTGTGTTAGCGTCGTCCCCTACTCCATCCAGGTCCTTCCACCCATGAAGGCGCTTCCTGTTTGCTCCCACTTTCCCAGAAGAGTTAAGACCAGCGCCTCAATGCTACCTCCGGAGCATGAAGAGTCAAAGACAGACACTAACATTAACAGCTCAGGTGAACGTAAGGAGAAACGCTGGAAAGATTAAATACGGCTGGAGGCCCTGAGGGTCGCATATGGGAAATGCAGAATTAAATTACCTCTGAAAACCCAGACAGTGGCATCTAGCTGCCAACTAGATCTGGGCCTGACACCTGACTGCCTCCCTCCCAGAGAAGTTAGACTGTGAGTCGGGGACCATTTTCCTGCCTTCTTTTGAGTCTTACCCGAACTTCGGCCTCTCGGGGCCTCCCGTTGAGATCACACTTGGACCCGTTGCCATAGGTCTGGCTGTGGTAGCGTTTCAGCCGATGCTGCTTGGAGGCCTGGAGGGAACGCCAGGCGGGGTGGAGAGGGTATGAGAAAAAGAAACCACGTGGAAGAACAGCACCAGCCTCCCGCAGGAACCTGGGGATCGCAGGACTCCAGGTCCCAGGGGAATGTGGTCTTGATGGGCGCCAAACCCCAGGAAACACTCCAGCTAAATCTGACCCTCCCTTGTTGCCTGGGCTCTTGGTCTGCAGCTCGGCCTGACCCCACACCCCTGTTACCTTGGCGGTTTCATCATCCCAGTTGAAGGCTGACTGATAGTAGCCGAGGTAGAGGACGTCACCTTTGACCTCGGAGTCTGGAAGAGAAGCCACGGGTAAAGTGCGTTATTCTCACTATGAAGTCTAGAAGGAAGAGGACTGGGAAGGGAGGTCACCTTCCACACCTGATGGTGAAGGCGTGGGGGAAATGTAAGAGTGAGTCACCTTCCATATGGTACTGCTGGATATGGCGTCCATAACAGAATTCATACGTCCACCAGTCCTTGGTCTGACGATCGAAAAACAAACAACCATGGGGCATGAACATCCTTCTTTTTGAGACCACAGTCCCCTGGCTCCCAGACACATAAACTGCCATTTAGTCCTTATCCCCTCTGCCCTCTCGTTCATTCTCCAGACTCTGTGAGAATGAACAGCTGTCTTCCTTCCACGGCTGGAGACACACATCTAAAGTATGACTGCTTTCCACACGGGCCCTTTCTTTCCCTTTTCTTTTTCTTTTTGTCAGGGGAGGGATGAGACAGGACCATGCTATGGGGTCCAGCCTGGGGTCACAGACAAGAGTCCCTCCCCACCCTCCATAAAGGTAAGAAATCATGGTATCCTTGAAGCTCTCGGATGAAGACGCCCACAGGTTCAAGTATTAATTGAACGTCCCCAACTACAGTGGACTCCTGAGATGAAGAGCGACAGGGGCAGGTGGGCTCCTGCTTCTCCAGTCCCACCACCTCCTCCAGTCCCACCACGGCCCCTCTTTATTACTTTGATCGTGGTTCAACCTGCTTTGAGATCTTTTATTGTAACCCTTCCCCACATCCTGCAAAGGGTCATTTGTGGATGCACACGACTCTCTCTGCTCCTCCACGCTTCCTGTCCGTAAACATATCTAGTACACCAGTAGCCCCTTAACTTCCACAGCTCCCACCCACCCCCACCCCAGGACGCACTCCTTCCCTAGCAACTCCAGTTCAAGACTACCACCTTCCACCCACCCCGGGTCCTTTCACCTTCAACAGACAGGGAGCATCTCTCATTGGGCTCAACAACTCCGGAATCCCGGGCCCTTGGTAAGCAGGTGCCTCCTCCTCCCTTTCACGCTGGAAGTGAATAGCTCCAGCTGGCAGGCGGCACTCATAGCGCTGCTTGTACTTGGACGACACCACCACCACGTCCGAAGCTTGGCTCTGGGAAAGAAGGGTCGGGGAGGGGGGCAGGGAGGCAGAGGCTGGGATCGAGAACAACGAGATCCCTCTTCAGACCCTGGGGAAGTGCCCAGTCGGAAGAGAGAATAAAGCGGCGAGCCCTCCAGCTGCGTGCGGGGAGCGGGGGGGTTAAGGTTAAGGGCGCTCTCACTTCCCCACCGGGCAGCCCGGGCTGCTTTCCCCGTGACCCGGGAGGGACGTCCACGGCGGGAAGCCCCACCCCTGCCGGTGCCTGGTCCCCAGGGGCGCGGGTCTGCCCGCGATTCCCGGCGGTCCTGGGAGAACACCACCTCCTCTTCGCCGTCCCCTTTCCATCTCCGGCGCCGGGCTCGCAGCTGCCCTTCCTCCTTCACCGTGCGCGCCCCCTTCCTCTTTGCACAGGACCCTCGCCCCCACGCCCCCCTCACCTGCCCTCCCATGACAGGCAACGGCAGGATCTGGATGCCATAGCGCATCTCGCTCAGCTCCTCCAGATTCAGGCTCCCGACGCCACCCGTCAGGGGCGCAGGGAACAGGAGCCCCAGCAGCAGCAGCCCCAACAGGCTGGACAGCAGCGTTTCCGCCGCCATCTTTCGTTCCGTCTTAGCTGGAGACGTTCCTTCCGCCCCGAACCTGGCAGCGGCCTCACCCGCCCATGAGCGCCCCGAGCTCTCATTGGCTGCCCGGCCCATCTCTCTTACGTAACCGATCCTCATTTGTAAACGTGGCGTCAAAGCCTCCGGGAAGGCGGGTCATCACTGTTGAGTTAAAAAAAAAAAAAATCAATCGCTGCTCATGATTGGCCAGGGATAAGAGCCAATCATCAACGAGATTAAACGCCCTCCCCCTCGCTCTTTATTCCCAGAGAGGCGTGGTCTCTGGCTGTCTTCTTCTGCCCTGTTGTCTCTGCCTTCGCCCAGCCTAGCGCTTCTGATGGCTTTTTCAGGTATTTCTTGCAATGTGTGGCGCTCCCATCGGGCAGAGTATTGAGGCAGATGGTGGGGAGGGGGTGTATATCTTTGGAAGTAACTTAATTCCCTTTGCAGAACAATGACTATACAGAAACATGCCATACGGAAGCATGCTATACAGAAGCAAGTATATACACACACATACTACTGTAGGCCAACGAAATAATCCGTACCCAAACCGGAATTTGTCCTCCAATAAAATTGTCTTCAGGGGCTAAGTGTGGTAGTGCATGCCTGTAATCTCAGCGCTTGTGAAGCGGAGGCAGAAGGATAATTCAGGGTCATCCTCCTCCATATGGTGAGTTCCAGGCCAGCCTGGGATATATGAGACAGGTTGGTAGATGACTTGTTTAGCATGTGTGAATCCCTGGATTCAACACTCCCCCCCGCCGCCCCACCCCCACCCCCACACAATATAAACCAAACATGCTGGTGTACACCTGGAATCCAAATAAGTAGTCATCCTTGGCTACATGGAGTTTGGTCCAAGCCTGGAATACACAAGACTCCATCTCAAAAGGAGAAGAGAGAATAATGGAGCCAAGAGTGGAGGCGGATGCCTGTAATTACAGGCTGAGGCAGAAAGATGGACAGTTGGAGGCCATCCCAGCTTATACATAGCAAAATCTTGAAGAAACAAAAAAAAAACAAAACAAAATGGGCATGGGAGAGGAAGGAGAGCAAGGGAGAGGAGAAAGGAGAAAAATAAAATAAAAGGGACTTCTAGTTAAAGTTGGGGTAGGGCCTGGGATCTTTTGTCCACATCGTAAGGGAGAAACCTGTAAGAACAATGAGAAGAGGAAATGAAATGGTGGTAGGAGCATTTTGGAAGGTGGAAAGCAAACAGAATAGTAGCTGGTTTAGCAGCCCTGAGAATATTAATTCCTAAGTAATGGCAAATAAGAGCAATGATATACCTTTGAGGGGGAAATCCCAAAGATACTCTCATCAGGCTTCTGTTAGTGAAATAGACACGAATCCTGCTATTATAATCACCCTGGCTGTCCTGGAACTCGCTCTGTAGACCAGGCTGGGCTCCAACTCACAGAGATCTGCCTGGCTCATGGTGTGCACCACCATGCCCAGCTAAGACCTCACTCTTAAATACACAGAAGGTCAAGCATCATTATCTACTAAAGGAAAATCTTTAATATACAAGAAAGAAACAAAAAACATCGAGTAAGAAAGGAAAGAGCAAATGGGAGACTAGGGAGTTGACTGGGCGTCAGGAGCAGATGGGAAAATGTTTCTGTATAAGTATGAGGACCTGAGTTTGAGACCCAGCACTCAGAAAAGTCGGGCTCAGCCCAGAGAGTCTGTAACTTCAGCTCAGCAGAACAGAGTGCTGGCTAGTTTTACCTCAACAGGACACAAGCTAGAGCCATTAGAGGAGGGAGCCTCAGTTGAGAAAATGCCTCCACAAGATCCAGCTGTGGGCAATCCTGTAGGGCATTTTCTTAATTAGTGATTAATGGGGGAGGGCCCAGCCCATTGTGGGTGGTGCTGTCCCTGGGCTGGTGGTCCTGGGTTCTATAAGAAAGGAGGCTGAGCAAGCCATGGGGAGCAACCAATAAGCAGCACCCCTCTGTGGTCTCTGAATTAACACCCGCTACCAGGCTCCTGCTTGGAGCAAAGGCATGCACCACTACCACCCAGCTTAGTTTTATTTATTTTTATGGGCATATTTCTTTTTCAAGAATTTCTAAATTATAAAATATTATACTGCCAGGGGGTGGTGGCCCATGCCTTTAATCCCAGCACTCAGGAGGCAGAGGCAGGCAGATCTCTGTGAGTCCAAGGCCAGCCTGGGCTACAGAGCGAGTTCCAGGAAAGGCTCCAAAGCTACACAGAGAAACCCTGTCTCGAAAAACCAAAAACCAAAAACCAAAAAAAAAAAAAAAAAAAAAAAAAATCACACAACCAGGCATGGTGAATGTAGCAGTGCATGTCTGTTATCTGACTACTCTCAAGGCAGGGGGACCAGAAGTTCAAAATCATCCTGAGGTACTGTGGTAGTTTGAATGTCATTGGCCCCCATAATCTCTTAGGGAGTGGCACTATTAGGAGCTATGGCCTTGTTAGAGGAAGTGTGTCACTGTGGGAGCGGGCTTTGAGGTTTCCCATGCTCAGGATACTGCCCAGTGTCTCAGTCCATTTCCTGTTGTCTGCAAGATGCAGGACTCTCAGCTCATTGGCCTGCACGCCACCACGCTCCCCACCCTGATGATAATGGACTAAACCTCTGAAAACGTAATCGAGACACCCCAATTAAATTTTTTTCTTTATAAGAATTGCCATGGTCATGGTGTCTTTTCACAGCAATAGAAACCCTAAGACAGAAGTTGGTACCATGGACTGGGGTATTGCTGTGGTAGGCCTGACCATGTTTTGTTTGGAGGAACTTGGATTTTGCTACTTTAGGTTATAAAAGCACTGGAATGCTTTAAGCATTGCTTAGTGGGCCATACTAGTAGGAGCATGGAAGACAGAGATGCTAAGAGTGATTTGAACTGTTGGGGGCTCACTCAAAGGGTTTCAGAGGAGAAGAATTTTAGTATGTTGCCTAGAAATCGTTCTTGTGATATTTTGGTGAAGAACGTGGCTGCCTTTTGCCCTTGTCTGAAGAGTCCGCCCGAGGCTAAAGTGAAGAGATTTGGATTAATTCTGTTGCCAGAAGGAATCTCAAAACAGCCTAATATAGACTCTGTTGTGTGGTTACTAGTGTTCATGCTTATAGAGATTTATAACGAAAAGGAGCAAGCTGAGCAGGGCAAATTACAAAATGTAAATTTTGAGGAGAAAAAGAGCATGGAGCATTAAGAAATGGAATATAGGCAAGCTGGGTGGCAGTGGCACACACCTTTAATCCCAGCACTCGGGAGGCAGAGCCAGGCAGATCTCTGTGAGTTCGAGGCCAGCCTGGTCTACAGACTGAGACCCAGGACAGGCACCAAAACTACACGGAGAAACCCTGTCTCAAAAAACCAACCAAGCAACCAAATAAACACAAATGGAATGCAGGGAGTGATGCAAGATCCCACCCAGCTAAGTTTCCAATGTGTGAAAAGGAACTAAAGAAAAGCTTAGAGCCTGGGTCACATCTTTAATCTCAGTACCAGCAGGTAGATCTCTGAGTTCGAGGCCAGCTCTGATCTACAGAGCAAATTTCAGGACAGCCAAGCTTAGACAGTGAAGGACAGAAAGCTGGTGACGATGTAATTGAAAGAGGAGGCCATGTTCCAGCCCCAGCAAGCAGCAGAACTTGGCTGCTTCGGGCCATGTGATGCTGGCTTTAGAGTTAGGAATAGAAGAAATGTATTATGGAATGTGCCTCCAGGCCTAAAGAAAGCTGCTGAGCCTAGGCATGGGTCAGGGGTGTCCCTAAATGAGGGCCTAGTAGAGAGGCCATTGCATGAAGCTGTGAAGTTGAAGCCTGGATTGCCTTGGAGAATGCAAGATGTTAGAGATGCCAGAGCCATGGGACACCTGCCGAGGAGAGCTGCTAACAGGGAGTGGAACCAGCCCAAGAGAAAGAAGTGTGTTGCAGTCAACAAAGCTGAACAGAGTTGGAGATCTGAAGAGTGTTTTGACATCAGACATGGAGATGCAGAGTTTGGAGTTTGCCCAGCTGGTTTTCGGTCTTGCTTTGGTCCAGTATTTCCTCACTATGCATCCTTCCCTACATTTTGGAATGGTAATGTATAACCTGTGCCATTATATGTTAGAAGTATGTGGTCTGCTTTTTGATTTTTGATTTCATAAGGGGATTACAAAGTTAAGAGACTGCATGAATCTCAGAAGAGACTTTGAACTTTTCGACATTGTTGAGACTAACAGACAATGGGGACTTGTGAAGTTAGACTAAATGCATTTTGCATTATGGTATTGTTACAAGCTTATGGGGCCCAGGGAGTGGAATGTGGTAGTTTGGATGTAATTGGCCCCCGTAATTTCACAGAGAGTAGCACTATTAGGAGCTGTGGCCTTGTTGGAGGAAGTGTGTCACTGTGGGGCGGGCTTTGAGGTCTCCTATGCTTGGAATACCGCCTGGTGTCTCAGTTGACTTCTGTTGCCTGAAAAATGTAGGAAGCTCAGCTACTCCTCCAGCACCACGTCTGTCTGCCTGCACGCCGCCATATTCCCTGCCATGATGCTCATGGACTGAACCTCTGAAACTGTAAGCCATCACCTCAATCGAATGTTTTCTTTATAAGAGTTGCTGTGGCCGGGCGGTGGCGGCGCACACCTTTAATCCCAGCACTCGGGAGGCAGAAGCAGGCGGATCTCTGTGAGTTCGAGGCCAGCCTGGGCTACAGAGTGAGATCCAGGACAGGCACCAAAGCTACACAGAGAAACCCTGTCTCAAAAACAAAACAAAACAAAGCAAAATAAACAAACAAACAACAGCAACAAAAACTAAATAAGATGGCTACATAGGAGTTGGTGGCTAACCTGGGCTACATGAGCTTCTGTTCCAATAAACCAACAAAAAGGCAGCAGCAACAAGAACAGAGAAGACCGGCTGAAGTAACTCTGTTAGCTTAAGAGGCATTATTTTTCATAGGAAAGGGATATTTACAGGCAATTACAGGCAAAACGATAATGTACGAGCTGAGTGTCCCTTATCTGAAATGCTTGGGAATAGATGTATTACCAATTTCAGATGTTGAAACGTTTGGAAATATATAATGGTATATTTTGGGCATGAGATCGAAGTTGAAACATGAAATTCACTATGTATTACATATGTTTTATTTACATGTCTCAAGGTAATTTTCTACAACGTATTTCTGCACCTCTGTTTTGTTTTCTTACTTTTAAAGATGTTTTGGGCTTTGTTTAGAATATCTTTTAGTATTTTTTAATTGTGTGTATGTGTGTGGGTATGTGCTCGTCTGTGCTGGTACCCAAGGAGGCTAGAAGAAGCATGAGATCTCCTGGAGATGGAATCACAGGTGGTTGCGAGCTATGTGATGTGGGTGCTGAAAACTGAACTCTGGTGTGTGTTCTCAACTGCTGAACCATCTCCCCAGCACCCTGTGAAGGGCTCTAACAGGCCCTTACATGCTGAGGGCAGGTCCTGCCGTTCCCTCTTGGGCTAAACCACTAGCATCCTGTTTGGCCATTTCCGCATGCCTGACTCATTCCTGAGGTCCAGCTATCAAAACATCAAGGTCCAGCATCAAAATCCCCCATTTGGCTACCTAATTAGCACGCCCAATCAAAGCCCCTCATTTGGCTGCCCTAACTAACATGCCCAGTCAAAACATACCAACCTGTCCTAGCCTGGATTTCCTCTTTTTCTCCTAAAAAAATCACTCCTGCTGAGTCATGTGCTGCTGTTTCTGACCAATTCAGGTTCAGCCACCCTGTCTGTCTTGCTTAATAGATAAATATTCTTTCTGTTGAGAATTTGGTGTCTGGGTGTGGTCTGTGCCAACTCCAAAGCCCATTCACCCCGTCTTTATTTATTTGTTTAAATTATGTGCATATGTGTGCCTGTGTGTGTGTCTGCATATATCAGCTCAGGCGCCCCAAAGAATAGGTCCCTGTGACAAGTTTAAAAATAACAGAGAGAGAGGAGGAGTTTGTGTCTGGCTTTTTTTTTTTTTTTTTTTTTGGTTTTTCGTGACAGGGTTTCTCTGTGTAGCTTTGCGCCTTTCCTGGAGCTCACTTGGTAGCCCAGGCTGGCCTCGAACTCACAGAGATCCGCCTGGCTCTGCCTCCCGAGTGCTGGGATTAAAGGCGTGCGCCACCAACGCCCGGCTGTGTCTGGCTTTTTAAGGATTCCTGTGAGCATGCTTAGGTGGGCTTACAGAGCTACATCACGCATGCGCACTAATGACGTAAGACCCCTTGCTTAGCTGCTGAACTGCGCATGTGCAGGTGTGTGGCCGAATCCTAACAGCAGTCATTTAAAACAATTCTTTGAGCTGGGCAGTGGTGGTGCACGTCTTTAATCCCATCACTCAGGAGGCAGAGGCAGGTGGATCTCTGTGAGTTTGAGGCCAGCCTGGTCTACAGAACGAGATCCAGGACAGGTACCAAAGCTACACAGAGAAACCCTGTCTCAAAAAAAACCAAAATAAATAAATAAATAAATCCCTGTTCCACAGGTTCCACTGTGGAACCACATAGCGTGATAATTCTGCCTACTCCCATACATATACTTGATAAATAAGGTATATTTGATAATCAAGATTTATAAATTCCTAAGGTCTACTCAGGTTCACACTAATATTTGTCTCACTTCGTCTTTGCTCACTTTAAGCTTTAGCTATTTGGACAAACTAAGCTATGCAAGAAACCACAACATTCCATAATGGAATGTCTGATCCCCTAAGAAAGTCCTTTTCCCAAGGTCAGGCCTTTAAACAAAAGTCCCCATTCCCTCGGGGGGGGGGGGGGGGCTTGAAGAAAATTCCTGTGTGCTAAAAAAGGGACTCCTGTGGCCCCTCCATTAACATATGACTGGTGCCTGTTAGCTTGTCAAGGTCAAGGCTGGCCTCCTCAAACACACTCGAGCTCCCTCGCTCCCTTTCTCCCATTCAATCCTATGTGCAACTGTAGAGTATAAAATGTGTATTCTTTTCCCAACAAACTCTGTAAGCAGCCATCCCGATTCACACTCAGCTTGTGTTGGCTCCCCTCCCTTCCCATGACTCCACACATCCTCTTTGGGACCGATTGTGGGATATTTTTGCACTGTGTGAAGGCCGGAGGTGTAGACAGGGTTTCCAGGGAGAGAAAGGAAGAGGAGGCGGAATCTAGGCTTGCAGGAAACACCAGGAGACACAAGAGGAAGCAGGAGATGCAAGATGGAACAGAGGTAATGCCACGTGATAGAGCGTAGATTAATAGAAGTGGGTTAATTAGTTATAAGCGCTAGTTAGGAACAAGCCTAAGCTATAGGCCGGGCTTTCATAAGTAATAATAAATCTCTGGATTATTATTTGGGAGCTAGCTGTAGTACAGAAAAAGACTCGTATTAGTATTTTTAAAAATGATAAAGGAAAAAAAAGCCACTTATCATTTTTAAAACAACATTGGTGCTGTGATGAAACAGGCTGTCTTGGGGCTCCCCGTCCAGGCTCCGCGTCCGGGGCTCTGCGTCCGGGACCCTGTACTTTATTGGACTTATAACGGCCCGCTCCTGATTTTTTCACTTGCCCAACTGCCAGTACCGCTACACACAACACACCGGCCGCCAAGATTGGTGAGTTTTCCCCTTTCCGATCCCTTTCCATTTCCTGCGACTGTAGCCTGAGATATGCATACCACGACACATTCTCTCTTGACAAAGTACTGAATGCTGTCTGGACTCCTGGGGAGGCCTCCAGTACATAGGCCCCCCCCTCAGCCCTTGCCCCTTCCATGACAACGGTTCAGGTAACTTGTGCTGATCATTTATGCCAGTCCACAGATTGCCCATCCTCGGGGATGCTTGAGATGGGGGTCTGGGGTCTCGTTTGTTATTTTAATGTTTTATTTTTTTTTCTCTCAGCTGCAGTCATGGGACATGGAGGTGTCCTCCTCTGGTTCCACTCCTCTGACAAATGCCTTAAGTATTCCCAGGTACCAGTCAATGTGTCTGTGTAAGGGCTCCTTGAACCCTGATATTTCTCGGGAATTATCTAACTTTTGCCAGTGAATCGGCAGATGAAAAGAGTTACCGTATCCCCATGCTTTTACCTAAGCTCTGAACCCTCCCTTTCTGGTTCTCTCTCTCCTGCCCATTTACATTCCTGAACCTAAGGAATCTCTGACTCCAAAGAACCTTATCTGTTTCCCCCTCTGTTCTCCAGTACCAGATGGGCTGCTAAGCATGGACAGGTCTGGAAGCAGGCTAGGATGCATGCAGATAAGTTTATGATCAAGACCCACGTTGGGATCGTAATAATCCAGATGTCTCTCTAGCCAGAGATCAGTTTACGGCCTGCCTCCTGGTGGGTCTTCCTAAAGCTGTTCTCAAGCCAGCAAACTATCAAAAAACAAACAAAAAACCCTCAAGACCTGGAATAAAATCTGTCTCTTGTTGGCTGGGTGGTGGTGGCACATGCCTTTAATCCCAGCACTCGGGAGGCAGAGGCAGGTGGATCTCTGTGAGCTCAGGGCCAACCTGGGCTACCAAGTGAGTTCCGGGAAAGGCGCAAAGCTACACAGAGAAACCCTGTCTCGAAACAAAACAAAACAAAAAAAATCTATCTCTTGTCTCCCAGAGCTCCCTGACATTAGGACCAAAACTTAAGCATCTGGAGAGCGAGGCTCCTGACCCCACAGGTGACTGTGGCATTTAAGTAAGGTACCGTGGGGGAGATGAGAAAGCCCATGAACAGAACTGCCAAGTGCTGGCACACACTATCCAAGCGGCTGCGTAAGGACTTCCAGGTCCCTGTTTTAGGAGGCCATGGGGACTGGAGTGTGCCCTACTGGGCCATCCACTGAGCCTTGTCCAAAGTGCCACCTAGAGAGAGAACTGGTCAGCTGACTGCTCCCGTGCACCCAGTGGCATGGGGACGTCCAACACAGACCTCCAGCAGACCTGCTAGGCCTGGCCACGGGCTCACAGGAAGCCCAGGATGCAGCATGGGGTGATCTGTTTCCTTCCTTTGGACACTGAGCCACTTACTCGGTCCTGAGGGAGTTTTGGGGTCCCACCTCCCCTCATTTCCCTATTGTCAGGGTATGGGGATAGCCTTACCCACCTCACCAGACTTAATTGTGCTTTCAGGGTTACTTAACGGAAGAGATTTTCCAGCTAAGGGAGGAGCTTTTGTTTTGCTTGCTCCTCCATGTGTCTCATTCCAGACCGGTCAGCAGTGCTTCCCATGCACAGTGACACAGACAGGGCCCTGCTCTCTCTCTCTCTCTCTCTCTCTCTCTCTCTCTCTCTCTCTCTCAAATTCCAAAGGACATCAGGATCCACTGCCTTGTCACCAATTCCAGAAGAATGAGGTCTCACCTCACAAGCTCTTCCTTCCTGGTTCCCTCTTCTAATTAACTACTCAGCTAATTGTTACAGGATCGCCGTAGAGCTGGAATCTAAGGACCATCAGATATAGCCAGGTGGTAAGGAACAGTAGTAGTCAAAAGGTATTTACACCCCCAGACCCAAAAGCATCTGGGCTCTGCAAAAAAAAAGACTTTAATATAACAATTCATTACTGTTAAATGCTCTCAACAATTGATCACCTATGTCTCCTGGATGCTAAACTAATAAAGGAAACAGGTGCTTTAAAATAATCTGTCTCAGATAAGGCTCATCTCAGGTAAAAATTAAAACATTTTCTAATCTCTCTCTCTCTCTCTCTCTCTCTCTCTCTCTCTCTCTCTCTCTCTCTCTCTCTCTCTCTCACA